TCGGGCATCCCAGCATAATCATTTGTGTAATTAATTTTGGTCGAAATCCATTACAGATTTTAAAAGCCAAATCTTTATCATGAGACACATCGTGATACGGGGAATTCCAGTGATGATTTCATAAGCAACAAATGCAAATGAATAAACATCAGCGGCCTTAATACTTCAGGAGCTATATAGGGTAATCCTCCAGAAATGGTATTCTTTTTATGTTTGCTGTAATTAATTTACTCAATCCAAAATCTGATATATGTATATATATAAGAATAGTTACTTGTTGAAGATTTTAAAATATTTCCGGGATGAAAATCGCGATGAACTATATCTAATTTATGAATTTTTGAAAATTTTCAGCTAAATCTTTTAAATGGTCTAATTTATTTTCCCAATTGATGTCATTAAAATTATTATTTAAATAATTTCTAAGACTTCCACCTTCATAATAATATAAAACCATTATATGTTCATGAGTTTTTGAATCTTTTGTAATTCCATAAAAAAGGGCTGATGAATAGTCACCAATTGTTCTCAAGAAAATTGTCAATATAAATAACATTTTTTTAAAATTATAATTAATATATCATATATTTTCAAATATTACTTTACTTCATTTAAAAAATCCTCATTTATATCTACAATACCATCAAGCTTTTTTAAGGCCACTTCAAATTGAATTCCTCTTTTCCATTGTTGATTTTTAATATCCCAACCTTGAATATTTCCATCAACCTACCTAGCATAATAAATAGTACCATAACCACCTTTTGCTATTTGTTTAATGTCTTTAAATCTATCATAAGGTATCCATTCGATTATATTATGCCAATCAGCATTTAGTTGAGGATCTTGAATAAGTTTATTTACTGTATCATTTCCACTTGTCCATTTATCAAAATCATTTTTAAAATGTTTTGAGATGCACGGTTTGCACCACTCATCATTACGATTATATTTTCCATTGCATTCTAGGCATATTTTAGACATTTTCTGTTGCTTATAGTACTTAAGATGGGAGTTTATTTTTTTTAATTAAAAAAAAGTAGTATTCATGCGTACAATTCCTTAATTATATTGTCAATCGGAGTTGTTATCCAACATGACCGAAATTTAGCAACTTTAAGAATTTTCTTGTTAAACATCACATTAAAAAAATTGTTTCGTCATGTGTCATCTTGTGTCACAATGTCATGAAAGACATTTTTTGATCAATTTTGTGGGTAAGCGTTGCATTTAACCTTGTATATGCTGAATTAGTGATGATTATGTTAATTGAAGTATTTTAGAGTATTTTAGGGTATTTTAGGGTATAATTATATCAATATTTCTAAAATGTATATATTTAATAGAGGTGAAACTGGTAAACAACAATTCAATTGACGTAATGAATCATAAATGAATTCATCAAAAGAAGCTAATAATAAATATTATATTAAAATATTTATCAATACAGTAACCAATTTCCAAGAAAAAAAATAAATATCTATAAAATAATTACTTACTACTTGTGAAAGAACAAAATCTGGAAATTGTTTTTTATCACAACTTCTTTCCATAATATCTAAAGCTATAAATCCATCTAATGTAAGTGCAGGAAGGATTGTATACTGCTTTCCACAAACAAAAACTATATTTTTTTTGCACATGTACAAGTAGGAGAGTATCCATAAAGACATGAAAGTGTACATTCATCTTTAGCACTTTTGTCAAGAAAAATCAATTGTTCAGATATATAATTATTTCTAATAGTTGCTATAAAATTACTATGAACTATTTCATTTCTTTCATGAGCAACCTTTTGTAACTTAAAAAAAAAAATATTGTTAAAGAAACATTATAATGTTTACAATATAAAAATAGAAATCTAATAATAATCAAACCTTTTTATGAGTTATATCACAGTATTGTAAAGAATGCCATAGTGCTGATACAGATATAAGCTTTACAGTTTGATTTTCCATTTCTACTAAAAGTTCATCTAAATACCAGTCAACCTTTTCTTTTACAAGTTGTTGAAGTATTTGAAGTTCTTTTCTTGTTAATTTCTTTTTAGTCCAGGTGCTCCTTTGAAAGGATTTATTACACAACCCCATTTTGCAAATGTTTTGAGAATATAATTTACAGTAGATTTACTAATTGATAAAGTTTTGTTCATTATAATTTTCACTATCTAAATAAACTACTCGCCAACGAAAGTCTTCACTGTATTCTCTTGACAACTATTAAATCAAAACTGATTGGAGAATATTTGTAATCTTGTAATCTTTCAAAATCGCGGATAGTAAACTCTGAAATCAAAGGCAAGAAACCTACTATTATATATTTCAAAACTCAATAAAAATAAACGTCGATATGTAAACACATAAAAACACTTTTTTTATTGATTTAAAATATTTTTATTGTGAACGATCGTCCAGTATTCGCAGTATCCGCAATAATTTTTTTTGTAACACAAACATCTGATCGGACCATTTCGATAAATATAAATATTTTTTAACAAAAATAAGAATTACTCAAAAAAAAAAAAAATTTCTTATTTCTTTACCTTTTTCGATCTACCTAATCTTTAAACGAATTTCACATTTCAACTCATCAGTGGAAGCTAGACTAATAGACAATGGAATTAATAAGAACAATTGAATAATTACAGAAGATATAATGATTGCATTTTTTAAGCATTACATTATTATTTAAAATTGCTTGGAGTTTAATTTTTCGATTATTCTACTGTGGTGCAAATGAAGCGAATTCTCTTACAGCAATTTAAAGATATCGAAACATTGAAAGATGGTAATATACAAATTTAATTCTTAGCCGAGTAAAATACTAATTATGCGGTTTATAATTATGCAGAAAGGAGTCAAACAAATTGTGGTCCTAATTTTGGAGGCAGTTTTTGTATTGGAGATAATGCAAGATTTTATTATGATTATATAATTTATTTTATACAAATCTAAATCGAACGAAAATGATCTTCAAATGACACAGCAGTAAAAATTGTCCCACTTAAATAATTTTGTACAGCTTAAAATTGTTTTTTTTTTAATAAAAATGGCATTGAAATTTTTTGATAAATTATCACAAAATTTTACTGAACTCCTTCTTAATGATAAAGATGACTATAACATAATCATTGAAGTTAAAAATGAGAAAACTTTTACTGCTCACTCTAACATATTGAAATATCGATCACCCTGTTTTCGTAAAGAATTAGAAAACATTATTCCGAACGAGAACAATATCAAAACAATTATCAAACCAAATATTTCTAATGAAATTTTTGATATTATTCTCAAGTAAGTTTACAAGTTACATTATAACTATTTTATATATGTATAAAATATAAAAAATTATTAATCATTATTATTATCTAAATTATGTATATATAGATATATTTATGGTGGTATCGTTAACTTAGAGAATGTTGAAGATAGATTTATTTTTGACTTAATGTTAGCATCTAACGAATTTGAACTCGAGGAATTATCCAAAAAATTAGAAACTCATCTTATCGAAACCAAAGCTTCTTGGTTAAGAACACATTTTTCTTTAGTATACCATAACATTTTTAACAAACAAAACTTTAAAGATTTAGAAAATTTTTGCAATGACATTGTAGTAAAGTTTCCAAATCTTATTTTCGATAGTTCAGATTTTACATCTCTTCCAGAATCTGCTTTGATATCTCTTCTCAAAAGAGATGATTTACAAATAGAAGAAACTAAAATCTGGGAATATACTATCAAGTGGGGAATTGCTCAAAATTCTACTCTACCTATAAACCTCGAAGAATGGACCCAGGAAAATTTTTTAACTTTGAAAACTACTCTACAACAATGCTTACTATATATTAGATATTTTCATATTCCGGGTAATGATATTTTGGATAAAGTAGAACCTTACAAGAAAATTCTTGACAAACAAGTTTGGAAAGATTTAAAACAATATTTTATATCTCCCGACCGACCAACAAAATCAATTATTTTACCTGCAAGATCTTTTCTAGTTCCAGAATTGCCTGCTCGTACAAAGGAACCTTTTTCAGCTATAATTTCTGATGAACATGCAGCCGAAATTTCTTCATGGATTGATCGTAAAACTACTAATTATTCTTCAACAAATTATCCTTATGAATTTAAGTTAATTTTTCAAGCGAGCAGAGATGGATTTGATGTTCAAACTATTTGGAACATGTGCCATGGTCACGCTGGTACAGTGATAATTATAAAAGTTGCAAATACAGATGAAATTTTAGGTGGTTACAATCCTTTAATGTGGGATAATAAAACTGCTGGTACTTATATGAGCACAAATGATAGTTTTATTTTCTCATTGAAAAATGGTAATATACAAAATTCAATTCTTAGCCGAGTAAAAATCCACACATCTGCAATTCATTGTTATGGAAAACGGGAGCAAATAAATTATGGTCCTAATTTTGGAGGTTATTTTTGTATTACAAATAATGCAGAATGTTTATATATGGATAATGGTACTCATGAAAAAGATATTAGAGCAGGACTGAAAAATTTTGATATTGCTGATTATGAAGTTTTCAAAGTTAAAAAGAAAACTGCTTAGGAATTTAGTTTTTAATGTTATTTATATTTTAGTCATATATAAATTAAAATTGGATAAATATAATGAAAATATAATTGGTACTTAACAAATATATATTTTTCTTTATCAGATTTATTCAAATTGTGCAAATCGTTAAATTGTAATTCATTTTTTTAATAAATAATAAGTCTTCGTGAAAGATCAATTCATTATAATTATATATTACATTTTAGTACAGAGGTCAAACATATTTCTAGAAAATCACGCGAAATATTAAAATGAAATATAATTTCTTTATCTTCTTTATTTTCTTTATTTACAAGATGATTTTAAATAAATTAAAAAGTTACAAAAATAAAAATAAAAATTTCATAAATATTAAATGAAATATAATTTCTTTATTTACAAGATGATTAAATAAATTAAAGTCACATGGATAAAATTCATAAAAGTTCATAAATATTAATACGAACTTCATTATATGACAAAATTTGAACATAATTCGATAATTCTTTCATAACTTCAGGTTGATCATTATTATTATTATTATGATTATGATTATGATTATGATTATTTATACTTATCCCATCGTGACTAATACAAAGACGTTTTAATGTTCCTTTTTCTTTTGCGAATTTTAAAATGATTAAAAAATATTCATCCGCTTTTTGATATTTATCCAAATATTGATTTAATATTAAAGTTTTTAAAGGTGCTTGACAATGAGATAATAATGCATCTAATTGTTCAATGGTTAATATAAAATTAATTTCTAAATAATGTAAAAAAGATGTATGAATATTGCCTAAATCCAATGTTCTAGGATTATGAATTCCAAATTTCATAATTGTAAGATATTGAAGTTCTTTTAATTCAAATATCATATTTTTAATAAAAGGTAAACTAAAATTATTTACACAAATGTCAAGGTGAATTAAACCTGGACATAAATTTGCTAAAATTTCAATAATATTTTTTGTCGCACTACTTAAATGTAATTGTTTAATACTTTGATTATTTTTTGTTGATTTTAAGATTGAAATTGTTACTTCGGATCCAAAGTCACTATCCAAATATAATACTTTTAAAGGAAATTTTGCATCTTCCAATGGTTGCCAATTTGAATAAGTTAAACAACAACATTGTATTATAAGTAAATTTTCTAATTTTTTACATTCAGCTAATCCCGTAAGTGGTAAATCATGAAAATGAACATTATGAAGTTCTAATAATGTTAATGATAAAGCTCGACTACTTAAATTATTAATTGCTTTTTCTATAATTTGTCTTCCTCCACTTTTTTCACGTAATTTAAAATTCGTTAAATGATTTAATCTTTCAATTAAAGATACTAAAGCATCCGCCATAATTTTATCCATAAAATTTACATCAATGTCTAAACATGTGATATTAGGAGCAATACGAGGAATTGCATCTAAAAATTCCAATATATTCTTAAGTTTTGAACGATTAAATGAACCCACGAAAAATTTGATTTTTTGTAAATTCGTTAAACCCGAATTATATTCGTTAGGTAATAAAATTTCCGGAAGAATTTGTCCATTAAAAGGTAAAATTAAATTTTTAAGTGTTTGTTCACCTCCCATAAACATATTACAAAGGGATTTCATAATAGTCATAACTACGTTAATTAAAATTTGATCTTCCGCATTAAGTGTATTTCTAATAACATTAACTACATATTCTTCTAATAATTTGTAATCAAGAACTTTAAGAAATTTAACGTAATTAAATAAAGGTGGTGAAGAGAAATTTGATAAATCTAAACCAAATTGTTCTAATAATAATTTATCATTTTTTTGTAAACAAGAAATATAAATTTTGATCAATGAACCAATTTTGATATTATTATTTTCAATATTTTTAGTCAAGTTTAAATTATGAAAAGGAGAAGACCATATAAAAGGTATAGTTAATCTACACCAATATCTATTTGTTAAAAGACAACTAAATAGTTGATTGACATTTAGGTGAGAAAGAATTTGATCTAAAATTTCTTGGGGAAAAATTTTTTCAATTTTTTGCATTGCTTCAATTGAACTAATCTGATAATGTGATAAAGAAAAAAAATGAGTTGGATTCTTTATTTTTTTTTATATTTTTTTTTTTATTCATTAATTTTTTGCATTGTTTCTTCTGTTGAACTGATAAAAGATTTTTGATAACGAAAAAAAATGAATTTGGTTTATTAATTAATTTCACCACGTGAAAAATAAATAACGTGAAAGATATATACGTAAAAAGATAGGATAATAGATAATAAATGATAAGCTGATAAAAAATATCTATTCCTTTATACCCTTTTAGATGCTTCACGAATTTAATCCAAAAAAAGAAAAACCCTTTTTTTTAAAAAAAAAAGTCCTTTCAAAACAATGTACGTATGAAATCATATAAAATTATGGCAATTTTTAATTTTTTACATTTAATCTAATCACAGTATATAGTAATACCATAAAATTCTACTCTCACTTTCATTTCATTAAATAAAAAATATTGTTATCCTGTAATAAAGCTAAATTTTGAAAAAAAAATGGAAAATAATGGAGCAGAAATCAATGGATATCACTCAGATTCAGATATGTCAATTAGCGATCCTGATTCAGATGGTGGTGGTGGTGGTGATGGTGGTGGTGGTGATGTCAGAGGAATTACTTCGATAAAAGAAAAAGTTAATGGATATCTTAATGACACTTATCATATTACTACCACTACTACTACTAATACCACTACTACCAATACTATTACTACTAATAATAATATGAATGACATAACAGCTGGTCCTTCCAATAGTCATAATAATCATAATCATAATAATAAAAATAATAATAATCATAAAAATAAAAATAATGATAGTAATATTAATAAGAAGAATAATAATATTGGGAAAGTTCCAGGATTTGAAGATGATTATTTATCTGATTCATCTATAGAAAAAGATTTTCGAACACCTTCACCTGCTCCGACTTATGTAGGTAAAGGTAAACAGAGAGCTGATCCTGTTGACGAAGCTTTATATGATCGTCAACACTCAATGATTAATAATGATCAATCTAATAATCAACTTAATCAAGAGATAATTAATAATCAAGATATCCAACCATTAAATCGAAATGAACAAAGTGATCAAAAAGATTCAAAAGATCCAAAAGATCCAATAGTTCAAAATGATACAAACGATCCGAATGATCCAAATGATCAAATGGTTGAAGATATGGATTGTTCAGAAGATCTGTGCTTCAGTAATACTACTAACGAGATTATAATCAATAATAATAATAATAATAATAATAATAATAATGCAAAAGAGATCATAGTCAATAATAATAATAATACAAAAGAAATTATGGTCATTAATAATAATAATAATAATAATAATAATAATAAAGAGATTATAGTAAATAATAATAATGCAAAAGAGTTTATAGTCAATAATATTATTATTAATAATAATGTCAATGAGAAGATTACAGTAAACGATATAATGGTACACGATAATATTACGATACATGATACAATGACACCCAATATTAAGACTACACACGAAATCATTACACACGACGAAATTATGAAACAAGATAACAAAGATAACATTATGGTACATGATATTATGGTACCATGTCCATTATCTAGTATTCAATTATATCTCATTAAAAGTATTCTTACAGATGTTGAGTTATCATATTATTTAGGACAAGTATCAATGAAAGAGAAACCTGATATTAAATTATCTCCTTTAATTATGTCAATTAATAATTGTCTTCAAATAATAAATAATGAATTTTTACAAAAAAATAATGAGGATCCTTTAACCAAGTTTAGTTCTTCAGCAGCAAATTGTTGTATTGGTAAATTAAGAATGTTGGAAATTTTATTAAAAAGGCTTAAACGATTTCCTATTAAAATTGGAATTGCGGTTTCAACTGATAAATCCATGGTATGAAATTCTGATCTGCTTTTTTTATATATATATATATATATTTTTATATTTTTTAAAAAAATCTAAAAAATCTAACTATTATTTATTTAGTTTTTTAAATTTTTTTAAATAAATAAATATATATATCTATATCTCTCTATTTTTAATAGAATACTATAGTTTCTTTTATGACTCATATCAGGCAACGATATGGAATTATTGATGAAAACTCATTTAAAGATAACTTAAGGCACAAATCTTCATTCTGTTGGGTATTTCCTATAAATTGTGATCCTATTTTGATGGTAATTAAATTAGTTAATTTAATTTATTTATTTAATTTAATTTTTTTTTTATTTTTAATTTTTAATTAATTAATTAATTAATTATAATTTTCAACAGCCTAAATTAGATGTTGTCATTGTTTATGATTCTTCATTTGAATCAAATAAGAAATTTTATTATCCAGTACATAATCCGAAAGTTACAATTCTTCGTTTAACTTCTGTAAATACTTTAGAGGAAATCTTAATTTATGGAACAATTAAGAAATATCATTATTTAAATACACTTGATTACGAAAGACTCTTAAAGATATTTTTTTATGGAATGAAATGCAAGAAAGGTGAAGTAACTATCGGAGTTCATTGGAAGAATAATGATTTTAAAGAGACTTGTGATAAAATTATCGATTGCGCAGAATCTCAATTTAACAGTAATAATAATAATAATCAACATCAGAAGAAGAATTGGAATAATTTAACATTTGATATGGAAAATAAAGTTGAAGAATGGTTCAAAGAGATTGGATACCATGAAGACATGTTAACTGATGATGTATCAGAAATTTATAAAAATTTCAATATGAAAATTAATGATATTAATTTGGAGAATTTATCTCAATTAAAAGCCTTAAACTTTAGATTATCAGACGTTGATAACGATCAAAATATCTTGACTTCCGAAATTCAACAGAAATTAAAACGTCAACCAGTAAGAGTTATTCATTTATTTGAAAATTTTCATAATCATTTAAATAGCTAACTTATTATTATTATTTTTTTTATTATTATTTTATAGGAATTTGTTGATCCTGCTGATTCAAAAAGATTAAAACTTGGCAATAGATCTGCGAATAATGAAGAATTGGCAGTAAGAAAACTATTTAAAGAATTTTTCTTTTTTTTTAAAAAAAAAAAAAAATTTTAATATTTTATAAATGTGTTCAAAATGTGTCATGATTATTTTTAATTAATTTTCTAATTCTATTTTTTTTTAATTAAATTTTTTGATTAAATTTATTTATTATTACTATTATTATTGTTATTATTATTTTTTTTTGGAATACATAGAAAACTAGGATGTCAGAATTACAAATATCATTTGAAATATTACAAAGACAACGAGATTCAATCAATAAAGATTTATTAAACGTTCAATCTGAACGTGATAATTTGAAACAAGAAGTAGCAATATTACAAGAAGAATGCACTCGATTAAAAGAGAAATTAGTCAAATATGAAAATAATCAAGAATTATTTCGGTTAAAAGATGAAAATTCGAAATTAAAAAAGAGTACCGTAAATTTAAAAGAAACTACTCTAAAATTGAAACGATTTGAAAAAGAAATAAAGACATTAAAATCGGATAATAATCTTTTGGGAGATTTAAATGCTCAACAATCAGAAGATATCGTAATGTTAAATAATTGTTCAGATGTATTAAATAATAAATTAAGTCAAATGCAAGAAAAACTTAGGATTAAGGATGAACAAATAGATATGATGATAAAAGAGAAAACATGTTTAACACATCTTAGCGTACAACAAACACAAGAAATTGGACGATTGAAATCAGCCAATGAGATTCAAGCTCAAGAAATTAATGCATTAGGGAAACAATTGGAAGAATTTACATTTAGGGAATTTCAATTCACACGACGGGAAGAATTATTTAAAGAAAGGGAAAGAGAAATATTTTATCATCGAGAACAAAGAGATATGGAATATGAAAGAAATAGAACGTTAAGTGAAGAAGTTTCTAGATTAAATCGACAATTATTAATACAACATCAACACAATAACCCTAATAATAATAATAATAATAATAATAATAATAATAATAAAAATAACAATAACAATAATAATAATAATCAAAATGAGAATAATAATTATAATAATATGACATTAACTCAACTTCAGAGTAATTTAAATTTCCGGAGTACATTCGGAAACGGAACATCAGATATTATGGTGGGTTCATCATCGTTAACTAGAAATGGTGGCGTTGGTGGTGTCGGTGGAGGTAGTATGGTTCGATTTTCATCTGAAAATGAATTTCGATGTCATTTTCAGAATTGTAATTTTTCGTTCAGTACTCATACTCACACTCACACTCATCAAAGGAGGGATAATCATTATGATGATGGAGATGTGATTGTTCTTGATGATTAATTAACAATTGATTGATTGATTGATTGATTGAGCAATCATAATCAAAGTCATTCATTTTAACTTTTTTTTTTCTTTATCTCTAATAATAATCATAATAATAATAACAATAATATTTGAATCATCTTCATCTTCTTTTAAATAATCTTTCTGAATAATCTTTTTGAATAATCTTTCTCTAAATAATCTAATCTCTCTCTAATATCGCTAATAGCAATTGGTTCTTTATTTATTTATTTTTTTTTAACGAAAAGTGATATAAGAATTACAATTTTATATTATTATTATGATCGTAGAGTGAAATACTTTAGCGAAATATAATGGTATGAAATTTGATATAATTCTTTTTTTTCTTTATTTATAAAATATAGAAATATTAATGAGCCAATCGCTATTGATTCCTCTATGTTATATATGTACATATATATAAATGGGCATATATCAATAAGCAATAATTTTAATAATTTTGGCCTTGAATAATTAATCATTATTATTATAAGGACAAAATTATTATAATTTTATCATATCGATATTATTCTTTATCATCATTCATTCTTCTATTATTATTCTTTATCATTCCCTCGCATTTCCCATTAATCATTGATTTATTGGGACTTTTTATTACTTTTTTTTTTGTCAGATAATTTTTTTTTTACAGCAAATAAAAATTTTAAGGAAATTATGAACAAAATAAATAACTTACTTGATGGATGGTTGTTCATTTCCAGATTTATAATTTCAAATTTATAATTCAAATTTATAATTCCAAAATATAATCGTGATTATTCCAAATAATCCAAAATATAATTATATCCAAATAATTCTAAATAATTATAATATTATAATTCAACAAGGATTTAAGGTTTGTGAAAAAAAAATACTAAAAATGAATGGATTGTGTTGGTAAGTTTTTTTTTCACAATTTTTATTTGTTTAAATTTGGTTTTAAAAAATGTAAATTAATAATAATAATGATGTTGATAATTTGAAAACAGAAGTTTGGGTATGAATTGAGTTTTATTATTTATTTTATTATTATTTTTTATTTTATTTTATTTTTTAGTTATGAGCAAAGATTAACAAACGCACACGTCGTCCAAATGAATTCACATTTTTTTTTTATTTCTGTTTATTACATAATTTTTTTTATAAATATTCTAGGATTTCCTAATTATAAGCCTACCACTTTTAATAATACTCGTTAATCTCAAATCTGCATATAAAAGAGAGATGAGAGGTGAGAGTGATATATATAAAAATGAATGGTATAAATGTGTGAATTTATATATAGATTTAATTAAAGGTGTTCTTCTTCAGTCAGTGTATATAATCTATTTGTACATTTGTAAATGCATAAATAAAATAATAAAAAATAATTAAATAAAAAAAAATTAAATAAAATTACTTTTAATTGCTATCAATTAATACATATATACATCTGATTTTTTTTATTAAACAATAAACATTGAAAATTAAAATTTTCATATTCAAATAACATTCATTCATTTGTTATTCTCTAAATAGTGTCCAAAAAATATAATATAATTAATTAATTCTACATAAAATAAAGAATGCATTATAAATGCAATCTAAATTAAAAAAATATTCTATATCCTACATAGAAAAAATTGGATCAACCTGAAAAATGTACAATGAAAATGCAAATGATCAACAAATGCACAAGTATAAAAAATAAAGTATCAACATAAAAAAAAAAAAATCATCAAATAAGAGAAGAAAAAAAATCATTAATACTTTTGGCGATTTTGTACAAAGTCTGACGAAAGAAATAATAATTTAAAATAATTTAAAATATTTAAATCTTAGAAATTCTACAATTATGTTATTATGATTTGATGCTATCAATAGATGTCATCAAAAAAAAATAAATATTGTTAAAATTTCACCACGACGATGTTACTGCTGCTGCTAAAAATGTCATCCCAAAAATAAATATTAAAATATTATCAAAACATCATGAAGAAGTTGTAATCAAAAAATAAAAACGTTCTTAAATATGTTTAAATATGTTAAAATATTACAATATTATAAATTTCATCACAGCGTTGCTGTTGTTGTTGAAAATGAAATTTCATCAATTTCATCCAAAATCGTTCAAAAATAAAAAGTAATTATTAAAGATAAAAAGTGTTCTTAAATATTTAAAATATTCTTCTATAAATCTTCATCAACAACTTTGATGAGGATAAAATAGAATGGCTACGGTATGAAATCAATTTCAATCCGCTCCACCTCTACTACTACCTATGATTTTAACACATTCTATATACTCCTTCGCTGCTTTTTCGGCTTGAGACTCGATGTTACACCACACCAAATCAAGGATATTCAAGGGATTTTTTTCCTTAGAATAACTTGTGATCACTTCTAAATGCTCATCGCCGATCGACTTGAATCCCATGCGCGTAAGATTAGCGGTACATGTTTCCATTAAGAACTGTCTTAATGTTTCCGCAGTAAACTTCCAACTCGCAAATATTTTTAATTGATATAGGGTTTGTGGAATAATTATACCCATCACTGGTAAGAAATGATCCACATCATATGTAGAATCTTTTGGTTCAACATCTGACTCGTTTAAGATCAAACTTTCTAACCTTTTACAATTTCGTAATAAAGAATATAATTCGGGAATTTCTTTACGTTGTATGGGTGCCTCAAAGTAACGAACATTTGGGCAGTGTTCAGCAACGGCATTAATAACTTGAGGTAATTGTTGATTATTATTATTATTTCTACGCGTTCGAATACTCCAATCCAACTTAAGTTCTTGAAGGTTTACCCCATTCATTGTGAGCATTGAAATAAGAACTTGTGGCGGAGGTTTCGAATGATTAATTATTACTCTTCGAAGATTTGGGAAAGGTGTTGATAATAATACCATTAAGTCACCTTCACGGAATGTCATCCAATCTTCGAATCTTATACTCTCAAGATTTTTACATGCGGAAAGAACACTTAAATTTCCACCATTATCAACTAGATTCATATTGTTTATTAATGTTACCGATATCAAAGAGTCAGTAAACTCTTCACAAGTAAAGGCTTCGTCTACTAATGGCCATCTTTTACTTACAATTAAACGTTTTAACTTTTTTTGAACTTTAAATAATTTCATTATTTCTTCATCATTACCCCAAGAACATTCTATATTTAATTGTACGAGATTCGTACAAACTTCCGAGGCAAACATTAAGTTTTCAGGAATGCAATCATCACATTCCAAATAAATAAGTTTACTTAAGCGAGGACGAGTGAGTTCCTCCTCATGCTCTTCTAATTGTAGAAATTCACCATTACGATGAGATACGGCTGATATTCCAATACCTTGCAGATCCTGTGCTTGATCCAAAAACAGGTCAATTAACAATTTAAGAAGTATATCTGAAGGGTTTAATTGGATATCAGGCACTACACCACCTTCTGATAGGACGAAAGCACCGAATCTTTGGCCTTCACACCATTTACGAACGGCGTGAAAAAGTGAATAATAATCAAAACTTCTTAAATATTTGACATAATGAAACATGGGAGACTTAAGCGCATGAGGAGGGAAATTATGGGTTAATTCATTAACCCATTCCTTAGTTCCGGGGTCCAAACAACCTAAGTAAACAGGAATGAGTCGGTATTGTTCATTATTAAGTCGATCAGAGAAGGGATATCTCCACAAGAGAGGTGACGCGATACGGCACCAAGAACGATTGACTAAAACGCATGTGTGCAACGAGGAGTAATCAGTTTCAAGAAAATGAATTATTGGAGTTAGTAACTCCGGAAGCAAGAAGACGAGGGAAGGCTTTTCCATAACTTTACGTTTCGATTTCTTTTTTATTGTGAAGGATTTGCTATAAAATATATATATATATAAATATATATATATATAAAGGTTAAAAATGAGTTAAAAAAAAATGTTTAAAAAATGAAGGATAAAAATTTAAAAAAAAAAATAAATTAAATAAAGGTTAAAAAAAAAAAAAAGAAGTTAAAAAAAAAAATAAAAGTTAAAAATAAAAGGTAAGGGTTTTGTTTCCGAGTTTGGTAAATATATGAGGCGCTATTTTAAAAAGATTCATAGTAACTCAATAAAAAAACTGGTTATTTACCAGGTAATAAACTCGATAAGATCATCATACATCTTGAAACGTAATTTTAAATTATACAGGATTTAGGGATCGGGATAATTTTTTGATTTTAGGGAATGTAAAAAAAGTCCAAAAACACAAATTTCTGAAATACAAAAAATTGAAAATATCAAAAAATATTTCCAAGAAATTGGAAATTTTTTTTTTATAGCATTATATTCAACAGATGTTGTGTGCATATATTTATATAATTAATAATTATTTAAAGCCACATCAGGTGATTGGTATTTGCCTGTTGATGATTAAGCTTAAGGTAAATTCAATTCACGAAAAAGGAAAATATTTGAGCACTTAGAGTAAACTTTCAACAAGCTTAGAAAAACTCTAATTCCTGCCTGGAACGAGATAATCATTTATAAAAATGCAAATAAACGCACGCATTTGTAAAATGGAGATACACGTGAAGATAAGATCTGAATAAAATTTTAGATTTCATCCGCAGAATTTATTAAAGAACAATGTGATTTTTAATTAGTTCATTTGTGTAGTAGTATTTCAAATACATATAATGCGAGTGATTAAGTTTTCAAGTGTTAAATTTATTATAGTCATGAATGTCGTGTGTCACTTTGACAAATTTTTAATAAATCTACTAATAAATTGATTAGGAATTTTCTTCGTAAATGCGACATTATAATGAATTATGCATTTTTCACAGTTACATAATATGAAAAAATATGTAGAAAGTTTAAAAAATAGAGAATTTTCTGCATCAACCAATGAATAATTAAAATTAACTATTTGATAAAGAAAAATATTATCTGTTATAAGCACAAATCAATTATGATATTTTGAATTGATTAATTTGTGTATACAGTATATAACTTTTTTTCTTTAGAAAGAAACACTATTAAATATTAAATAATAATTTGATTATGTAAAAATAAACAGAAACAATTTCAAAAAGAACTAGATATAAATAAAATTAAAGAATAATTCCTAAGGAGTTTTCATTTTGACTTGGAAAACTTCATAATTAACAATGTCAAATTGACCCGTTTCTCCTTTAATATCTTTTCATATGTACCATCATTATTTAAATGTGTATATTTACATTATTTCCAATATAAAACCGGCCTCCAAAATTAGGACCATAACTTGTTTGCTTCCCTTTTCTAGAATAAAAAACTGCAAATGTAGGCCAAGAATTGAATTTCGTATATTACCATTTTTCAATGAGAAAATAAAACTATCATTTGTGCTCATATAAGTATCAGTTGTATTGGTATTATCCCACATTAAAGGATTGTATCCACCTAAAATTTCATCAACTTTTATAATTATCACTGTACCAGCGTGACCATGACACGCGTTCCAAATAGTTTGAGTATCAAATCTATCTCTGATTGCTCGTAAAATTAACTGAAATTCATAAGGATAATTTGTTGAAGAATAATTAGTAGTTTTACGATCAATCCATGAGGAAAAAAATTTCAGCTGCATGCTCATCAGAAATTATAGTTGAAAAAGGTTCCTTGTACGAGCAGGCAATTTGGGTACTAAAATAGATCTTGCAGGTAAAATAACTGATTTAATTGGTTGGTGTTATACTGAACCAAATCTTTCCAGAGTTGTTTATTCTTGTAAGGTTGTATTTTACCTAAAATATCCTTGCCAGAAATGTGAAAATATCTAATATATGATAAACATTGTTGTAAAGTAGTTTTCAAAGTTAAAAAATTCTCTTTATTCCATTCTTCAAGGTTTGTGGGCAAAGTGGAATTCTGAGCCATTCCCCACTTGATAGTATATTCCGAGATTTTAGCTTCTTCTATTTGTAAACCATCTCTTTTAGAATAGATACCCAAGCAGATTCTGGAAGAGATGTAAAATCTGAATTATCAAAAATAAGATTAAGATACTTTACTACAATGTCATTACAAAAATCTTCTAAAGTTTTGTTTGTTGAAAATAGTATGGTATATTAAAGAAAAAATGTGTTCTTAACCAAGAAGCTTTGATTTCAATAAGATGAGTTTCTAGTTTTTTTGGATAATTCCTCAAGTTCAAATTCATTAGCTGCTAACATTAAGTCAAAAATAATTCTAGTTTCAACATTCTCTAAGTTAATGATACCACCATAAATATATCTATATACAAATAAATTAAATAATAATTAATAATTTTTATATTTTGTATATAAAATAGTTATAATGTAACTTGCTGTGCTGCGTTATCATTGAAGATTATTTTCTTTTAGATTTGTATAAAATAAAAAATTTTCTGAATTGATTATAACTAAATATTAAGTACAGCACGTTTGAAATTTATATATATTTTAAAGCATCTTCAAAGAACTATAAAGTTCAATTTAAGAATTTGACAAGAATTTGCACAACTGTGAGAAGCATTAGATAGAAAAATGAAACAACTAAAAAAAAAGAAATTGTTTCACGACATCATGACCATTTGACAGATGAAAAACTAAAAAAATATTTCAACATGAAAAGGTTTCGATCAATACTTCACAAGAATTATTATATAGAATTCTTATATGGTATTGTATTTTATTTCAACCTCATGATGGAAAATACTTTAAAATTCCAATCAAACAGTTTACTTTTACATCTAATGGAGGCATTAATTTTGTAAAAAATTATTAAAAAAAATGATCAAGGAGGTGTTGGTGGAAATTCTGATGCTTTAATTATTCCAGTACCACCTGATATGGAGTTATCAAGGGTCTGTACATGATTTCAAATTTTATTTTTCTAGAAGACCATTGAATTCAAGTTGTGACTCTTTTTATTTACATATTAATAAAGAAGCAAAAGGTAAAAATTACATGTAATTTTATTTTTCCATTTTATAGTTTTTTTATTATATATATTTTTTATTTTTGCTAGATCTTGCACAAAATTTATGGTTTTATAATATTTAATTAGGTGAAAATACATCCAGAAATCTTATAAAAGATATTTGTACTACTGTTGGTAAATTATTCTGAACAGTCAACACCAATTTCAAAAAGGAGTATCAACATGAACATAAAATAAATTATCATATTATATTTATGCATGACTATCAGATCAACAAAAAAAAGATGCATTATCATTATTGACAAATTGGTAACTTTAATTAATTTAAGATAAAGTTTTTTTTTATTTATTTAAAGAAATTTTGTCTAATATTTTATTTCTTAGAAACCTTTGAATAATAACAAGTCTTCATGAGTCTTTAAATAATTCTCAAGAACAAATAACAGTTATCAAAAATTTGAAACAAATTTCAAGTAAATATATAATTTTCACAACACCAAGATCTTCTATCTTTGCACCATTTCATCCACCTTTAATAGATTCATTGAAGCAAATATCCCATTGAATTTAGTATCCTTGTATTTGAAACTATCAAAATCATCAGAAATATTGAAAAATTCTGATCAAGTTTGTAACATTTCAGAAGTAAATAATCAAGAACAGAGCTTAAATAATAATAGTAATGTTTGTGACATTTCAAAAACAAATAATCAAGAGCAGAGCTTAAATAATAATAGTAATATTCTATTACAATATTAATATTAAGTGTATAACAATTATAGAAAAATGAAAAAACATTAATTTATATACTGTAATTAAAATTTAAGTAGTAACAATAGAAATAAATAAATAAAAATTATTGACTTGTACATAAAGTTTATCTGGTCAAAATTATTTAAGTATATTAGATAATCAAATTATTTGATAATGCCGATTATGATAGGATATTGAATAATATTTATTTTTATTATAATCTATATAAATTAGAATACACAATTTTAATATTTTTATCTAAGTACACAATTTCAACTGATTCAAAAAACCAATTTGAAACCAATTTACTATATACCTTTGACAGTGTGAGTAGGGTAACTATGAATGTTCTGTAGGGTTTTCAAGTGGAGCATAATGTTCTAGTATCAATCCAGTTTATATATTACTATAGGTACTACCCAAATTCAAAATGCTAAATTCCAAATCCCAAATTCTAAATTCCAAATTCCAAATTATGCCAAATCCCAAATCCCAAATACTATGAAAACTGAATTTTGACAACTGAAATGCCAAAATAATTTGGAATTTGGGTGACATGTATATGTATCACTCCATTATGGAGTGGATTAAGATTTCTAGTTTTTTGTATCAATCCAGAGCAAAATATTTTATTATAACTTAGATTATTATATAATTTGTTCCGGATTACTCCAGATTGCACCAGGTTGCTTTAAATTATTTTAGTAATTTGATTAGTTAATCAATTAATAAAATAATAATCTATTAATTTTAATTTTTTTGTTTATGAATTTTATTATAAATAAAAAACAAAAAATTTATAAAAATTTATATGAGACACTTTTAGATAGTAAGCCTGAACTATCAAGTAAATTATTATTAAATATAAATATAGAAGAAAGTGTGATTTATTTGATTTTTAGTTAAGAAAATAATGAAAGTTTAATTACTATTCTTACAACTATAACTACTACAACTACTATAAGTATAGTTACTATAAATACAGTTGTTACAAATACAATTAATGAAAATAAATGTAATTTATCAAATACTTTACGTGAAACTTCTTGGGTTTGAGAATTTTTTTCAAAAAAATATAATGATAAACAAGAAATTATTACATATATTTGTATGATATGTAAAAATTATTATAATCATTTAATACTCCAGAT